CCGTGGAAAATTTCCAAGGTTAAGTGAAGCTAAGATAAGGGAAGGTGTCTTTGTTGGTCCTCAGATTCGTGAACTTCTTCGAGATGATGCATTTGACCATGCACTGCGTGGCAAGGAAAAGACAGCATGGAAAGCCTTACAGTTAGTAGCAATAAATTTTCTCAGAAACAACAAGGCAGACAACTACAGGTTGTTGGTGGAAAACCTCCTCAAGGCATACAAAAGCCTTGGTTGCAACATGTCACTAAAGATACATTTTTTTGCACTCTCATCTAGAGATTTTTCCACCGAACTGTGGAGCAGTGAGCGACGAGCATGGTGAGCGATTTCACCAGGACATTACAACAATGGAGAAACGCTATCAGGGCAAATGGAGCCCATCAATGCTTGCAGACTATTGCTGGACAGTGACAAGAGATGCTCCATTTAATGAATACAAGAGACAAGCCAAGAAGCGCCGAGTAGACACTGAATAGGACTAAACTACGTACATAATAGTTTTTTGCCTTTTGTGTCATAATAAATTTTATTTATATAACCCTTTTGCTGATTTTTAAAGTGTTACATTAACAGGACAGGTGAAATATTATCATGTAAAGCAACCATAAACACATGAAAAGACCTAGGTTTACAATTTATGATTAAAACTCTACTATCTACACAATATACAGAGACATAAAATGTAAAAACTTAAATATCTTAGAAACAGTAGTCAATCAGTTGTTTTAATTGTCATATTTGAATTCAGCACATCAAAATACATAATAAATAGTACATTTTCTCTCTGAAGCAGATGACTTCTCAAAAATTGTAGACCAGTGTTATAAGGTAGGTTTTCCAATCCACGGCTCATCTTAGTAGCCCTTCGCTGCACCTCTTCCAGTTTGAATTCATATTTCTTAAACATGGGAGACCTGAACTCCACACAATATTCTTCCCAGTGCCTTGTATAATGATAGTAACACTTTCCTATCTCTATAGGAAATATCTCTCCCTATGCATCCTAGGACTGCATTAGCCTTTTTCACAGCCGCACCACACTGGCAGCTCATAGTTATCCTGTGATCATCCAGTACACCCAGGTCTTCCCTTCCTCTGTCACTTCCAACTAATACGTTCCCACTCCTTTCTCAGGGTTTCCCCCTTGCTGACTATAGCTTCCTCCTTAACATGCATGATTGGCAGGGCCAGAAAGGTGGGCCTATCTTAGCACACAGAGCATCCCTAGCCCCTACTCATCGGTGCAGGGTATCATACACCCCTTTCCACCCCCCAACTTACATGCTTTCTCAGACACACATGTGCACAGTATTGGGTCTTCCTTGACTACTAATGTTATTTCCTGGTCAGTTACAGAAATTGTTTGGAAATACAATCCTTCTAGCAGCTGATTTTCTTTTTCGTTTTGGGGGGGGGGGGGAGGTAGCGGGATTCCATAATTTTTCCTTCCGTTTTTCTTCCTTTATGTTCTTGTTTAACATTGTCTGTAGGATTTTTTTTTTTTGCACTGAAACAAAGCCACTTCACACAGCAGGATTATCTGGCTATTTGGACTCTCTCCTCAGACCCTACGCTACCAGCACTCCCAGCTATCTTCGAGACACCACCGACTTCCTGAGGAAACTACAATGCATTGATGTTCTTCCTGAAAACACCATCCTGGCCACCATTGATATAGAAGCACTTTACACCAATATTCCACATGAGGATGGACTACAGGCTGTCAGGAACAGTATCCCTGATGAGGCCACAGCACGCCTGGTGGCTGAGCTTTGTGACTTTGTCCTCACCCACAACCACTTCAGATTTGGGGACAACTTATACCTTCAAGTCAGTGGCACTGCTATGGGTACCCGCATGGCCCCACTGTATGCCAACATTTTTATGGCTGACTTAGAACAACGCTTCCTCAGCTCTCGTCCCCTAGTGCCCCTCCTCTACTTGCGCTACATTGATGACATCTTCATCATATGGACCCACGGAAAGGAGGCCCTTGAAAAATTCCATCTGGTCTTCAACAATTTCCACCCCACCATCAACCTCAGCCTGGACCAATCCACACAAGAGATCCACTTCCTGGACACTACAGTGCAAATAAGTGATGGTCACATAAACACCACCCTATACCGGAAACCTAGTGACCGCTATACGTACCTACATGCCTCCAGCTTCCATCCAAGACACATCACACGATCCATTGTCTACAGCCAAGCCGTAAGATACAAGCAAATTTGCTCCAACCCCTCAGACAGAGACAAACACCTACAAGATTTTTATCAAGCATTCGTAAAACTACAGTACCCACCTGGGGACGTGAGGAAACAGATTGACAGAGCAAGATGGGTACCCAGAAATCACCTACTACAGGACAGGCCCAATAAGGACAATAACAGAACACCACTGGCCATCACATACAGCCCCCAGCTAAAACCTCTCCAGCGCATTATCCATGATCTACAACCTATCCTGGAAAATGATCCCTCACTTTCACAGACCTTGGGAGGCAAGCCAGTCTTCGCTTACAGACAACCCCCCAACCTGAAGCAAATACTCACCAGCAACTACACACCACACCACAGAAACACCAACCCAAGAACCAATCCCTGTAGCAAACCTCATTGCCTACTCTATCCCCATATCTACTCTGGCGACACCATCAGAGGACCCAACCACATCAGCCACACCATCAAGGGCTCATTCACCTGCACATCCACTAATGTTATATATGCCATCATGTGCCAGCAATGCCCCTCTGCCATGTACATTGGCCAAACCGAACAGTCCCTCCGCAAAAAGAATAAATGGATACAAATCAGACATCAGGAATGGTAACAGACAAAAGCCAGTAAGTGAACACTTCAGTCTCCCTGGTCATTCTATTACAGATTTAAAAGTCACTATCATTGAATAAAAAAAACTCCAGAAGCAGACTTCAAAGAGAAACGGCAGAACTAAAATTCATTTGCAAATTTAACACCATTAATCTGGGCCTGAATAGGGACTGGGAGTGGCTGGCTCATTACAGAAGCAGCTTTTCCTCTCCTGGAATTGACACCTCCTCATCTATTATTGGGAGAGGACTACATCCACACTGATTGAATTGGCCCTGTCAACACTGGTTCTCCACTTGTGAAGTAACTCCATGTGTCAGTATATAATGCCTGCATCTGTAACTTTCACTCTATGCATCTGAAGAAGTGAGGTTTTTACCCACAAAAGCTTATGCCCAAATAAATCTGTTAGTCTTTAAGGTGACACGAGACTCCTTGTTGTTTCAGTACTAGAGAGTTTTCTTTAGGAGTTACAGACAGAGATTATGAGCAAAGCAAATGATTGAGCTGGTAGCTATAAAACGCCTTAAGATTATTTTCTCTAGTTTTAAAATAGGATTTTTGCATTGCACAGTTGGGTCCCATCACCATAGTCTTACTTAAATCTGGACACTTGTGTTACTTCACAGAAATAAGGATTACTCTCCATGAAATTTACTACAAAAATCTACAGACAAGACTAATGGCTTTATAACAAAGCTACCTTAAGGAAAAATAAATGATATACTTTACCAGTCATTTAATTTGTCCAGAAGTGGCGTATGTAAAAAATTTTAACTCAGCTTCATCAATTGGAAATTTATTTCTATATGCCAAATAATGCTGTTTCGGTACAAAGATAATACAGGATTGTACATGAATGTGATAATAAGCATGAGATTTTGTATAAATGTGTGGGTAAAAGTGGATCAGAAAAAATAATTGGTATAATTTATTGAAAATCAACATCTTCTGGAATAACTACACACCTTTTAAATATTAATATAAATGACTCCGTCCAAAATCCAGAATGATTAAAATGCATTCATTCAAATAAGCACAGAGATCCATGGTGAAATATAATTTCTGCTGTCAATAAATATATCAATAATATTGCCTTCAAATGCTAATATTTAGTAGAAACAAAGGGAATTACAAAAGGAGACCACCACAAGGTCAGGAACAGTGACAAATTCTGGCGTAGGAGCATTAGCACGGTTTGGTTTGGTTTGGTGGCAACGGTGATATTCTACTTCCACAGGTGAATACATTTCCTGCTCACTTTTAATCAAGTCAGTGGGTGCTCAGCACTTTGAAAAAAAGAAGCCACTTATTCAGGTTCCTAAAGTCCAAAAGTAACCTAATTAGAAGTCCCGAGTTTTGAAAACCTTGGTAACTAGGTTTTCAAGTTAGAATATTTTGGAAGGGGGATGAGGCATACATAACTTGTCAGCAACTCTAATGATTACCCTGAGGCCACCCTCCCCCCCAGATTTCCCTTTTAGGTTATGTTTGAGAAATAAAATTAAACTTAAAACTGAGCCATGGGATGGCAAGTTTGATGGCACAGGAGAGCACAACGTCCTTCTGCAGATGGCAGTATCTCCAAATAGCAACTCAGATGGCAAAGGTTAGAAAATGACCTGTTGCTCATTATGACCATTATGGTTAGTAAAAAGCAACAGAGGGTCCTGTGGCACCTTTGAGACTAACAGAAGTACTGGGAGCATAAGCTTTCGTGGGTAAGAACCTCACTTCTTCAGATGCAAGAAGTGAGGTTCTTACCCACGAAAGCTTATGCTCCTAGTACTTCTGTTAGTCTCAAAGGTGCCACAGGACCCTCTGTTGCTTTTTACAGATTCAGACTAACACGGCTACCCCTCTGATATTATGGTTAGTGTGTTTCATTGTGATCGTTATTTTCAAAAGAAGAACAGCTCTAGAGCAGCTTACTGAATTCTACAAGCAGAGAAACTTTTGGAAATTCAATTTCTCTCTCCAAACAGATGTTCCTATGGTGATGGGGAAATTTATGTATGCTGAAAGATCAATCAAAACAATTGTAACTCCACTAGAAGACAAGTCTACTTGAACTGCTCATATAAATGTTTTATTTAGAGTGTGTGTTAGTGACGAAAATAGCTTTCCTATTTTCATGAATTTTTTTTTTTTTGGGTTACAACTAGGAAAGTTTACATGCATTGAAGTCCGATTCCACCTTGAAAGGCAAATGGGTTATTATCTCATTCAAATGTACATACCGAGTCTCCTGATTGTCATTCTCTCCTGGGTGTCGTTTTGGATCAATATGGATGCAGCACCAGCCAGAGTGGCTTTAGGTATAACAACTGTACTGACCATGACAACACAAAGTTCAGGTTCACGAGCATCACTTCCAAAGGTAGGCAAAAAACTGCTTTGCTTGTACTATACCAGAATCACTGTGTTAGTACAAATGATGGTTCTATATGGCTGTCGGAGGCCTTCAATAACCTTTACAACATGTGCTCTTCTTATTAACAGATACATTTATTCATTAAGGATGAACAGAAGGGAAATAAACCACTTTGATTTGTTTGTTTGTTTGTTTTTTATTTTTTTATTCAATAGAACACATTCTACTTTTTTACCAACTGATCTGTTGGGCCAAATTCTCAACTGGCTTAACTCCAGTGACTTCAATGGTACAGATTTTGAACCTTGAAGAAACAGTGTTCTTCACTGCTCCTCTAGTGTTGCCCATATTTTTATGTGCTGGTCTGTGATGAGTTTGTCCCTTTCTCGATTGTGATACAAGCCAATGTATTTAGCAAATATTGAGAATATTGCAGCTTTACAGACTGCCGTGAGTAAAAGGGCAGCATGTAGCTGTACTCTCCCACAAAGAGACCAAATCAAAAATTATGACTTACAGAGTAACAGTCTCTTTCCAGCTACCCACCCTGGTTCTGGGGGGACAGCAAGTTATTTCTCTTTTTATTGAAGAGCTTACTATATGCATCTGGTCAGCTATTCTCCTGGATCCAGGGCTCATCCTTAGACCACCCCTTCACCATCCTCTTACCGTGAGGAGTATTGGACAAGTATCACCTCCACAGCCACAATCTGACCACCTGGCTGAGTAAGGGTGACAATCTAGCCCAAAGTATTTTACAAAGGTGTCTGTCATCAGCATGGGTGAAATCCCCAGACAGATTTATGTTGTCCATTTTTAAATTGCCTAAGTGTCATTACTTAAAAGTTTTCTTTTACAGGAAAGACTAATCACCCTGAACTCCCACTGAAGTCACTGGGAATAATTTGATATGTTTGCTGTTACCCCTCATTTTTGTGTAAATATTATTCTCCTGGTTGTTGGAGCCAGACTTTTTTTCCCTCCGATCAAAATAAATATGCCTTTGGTTGCAGAGAGAGCTTAGTGTCCCACAGTGTAGGACCCTGCTGTATTAATTTTGATGGAATATATGGGCCCAAAGAGCCAAAAGTATGAACATGACCCCGTAATGTCCAATATTGAACAGTTTTCACCAAAGGTTCAGGGTTTGATATAGAGACCTCAGCCAGTTAATTACCATGGCAAACACTAATAAAAGGTTTAAAAGATTTTTAATAAAGATACAAAAGAAAGAAAAACAGCGAAAGCATTTAAAATGTAAACTACATAAGGAATACTTGTTCCCTTTCACTGTAGAGGATCTATAAACAGAAAATAAACCATGTCTGACAGGCTTTTAGACTGTTTTAAGCTCAAAAGCTTGTCTCTTTCATCAACAGAAATTCATCCAACAAAAGATATTATTTCACCTGCCTTGTCTCGCTTAACTCCTGGGACCAGCATGGCTACAACTAAACTGCAAACAGTCTTTTAGATGGTATTATAGGCAGTAATAACTGTTCCTTTTTGGGAGGGAAGGAAAAGTGGAGACGGGCTGGAGTTGTTGTTGTTAAAGTCCAATCAAGTCTCCTAGAAGAGATAAGATAAACACACAAGAGGGGAGCGAAAAACAAACAGTAATGATAGAAAATGCAGCTTCTGCTTTTGATGTTGACTCACACTTGAAACTTCTGTTCTGGAGAAACAGGGGCATGGCACACAATCTTATTAGCCACTCTGATACCTGGTGAACTTGTACCAGCATCAGGCTATTTGGGGGACTGTTTTTAACCGTTTCTTTGGTCATAGGCTCAGAGCAGTGCTGCAAAATGTGCAGCCTCAGCAAGCTAAGCCAGACTCTTATTAAACAGAAGGCAAAGGGACAATAGGAAAGACAAAAAATAAGGTAGGGAAGGAAAAGACACAGAAGTTTGGGGGAAGTATAACAAAGTTTCACATCCCAAATGGTGTTTGCCATCTCCACTAGCTCTGGCTAAATCCCAATGTTATCTGAATCCCTCTCTCAGACCCGGTCTGTTTAGGATATCTCTCAGGATCAAGACAGTGAAGGACCAATGCTATTACAGTGAGTCCCAGGGTTTCAGGAAAGGAGCGGGGTAGCAGCCATCATGGTGAAGCTCACTCCTTCCTATTCTTCCATCTTTCAGTCAGGCAGCATCCACCTTCAATTTCCCCCCAAAATCTTCTCTTAAGGATCCCAAAAGGGAATGATGGGTAGAATAGCCCACCCTCATTGTTTCATCTACCAGTAGGCCTTATTTCCCCACACACCAATTTGGGTTTATTGGTTTCCAGACCCACATTTCTCTTGTTTACATGATCTTAACACTGTCCTGGGGTTATATTAGTAGATCTTTTTGTTTGGACTAGGTCAGTCTCTCTTTTTGAACCTTGCTCCATCTATATTTATTGTTGTAAGTTATTGTAACACTTTATAAACTCTTACTTTCCCACAGTTATGCTCACAAATGGGGTAGGCCTAGAGTTACCGCTTTTGACATGCAAAGAAACCGGCACCCACCCACCCCAAAAAGGGAAGCCTGCCGCAACCCCAACCCTCAATCACAAAGCAACTCCAAAATTTCCCCCCCCCAACAGTCACTTATAGTATCTAGAGAGAACACACATATAGATAAGATTGAGAACAACAGTTTTTTTACTTAAACTGCAGAAGCGGGAACACCTCAGCATTGTCAGCTGTACATAAACACTAGCTATCCCAGTCTATTGTGATAATTCAAATCTTTAGACCCATTAAAAAAAGTCAGCAGATTAAATTAGTTTTCTGGCAAATCCATTAAGTCAAGCCAGTCAAATACCCAGCCAGGTTGTATTAGGGTTACCATACGTCCGGATTTTCCCGGACATGTCTGGCTTTTTGGGGCTCAAATTCCCGTCCGGGGGGAAATCCCCAAAAGCCAGACATGTCCGGGAAAATTGGGAGGGAGGGAGGGCTCGGCGGTGCTCGGCCAGGGCCTCTGGGGCTGGGGTTGGCGGTGCGGGGCCGGGCCGGGGGTGCGGGGCCGGGGCCGGTGTGGTGTGGGCCAGGGTCGCGGGGCCGGGCTGGGAGCCGGGGGCGCAGTGCCGGGCCGGGGGCCAGGCCGGGCC